ATTGGTCTAAATACTGGGGAACAAGTAATGACAAAACAAAATCCCTGCCTGCATGGAGTTTTCATGCTAACGTGAGGGAAACAAAGCAAATACGTCATCTGTTGATAAACGCTAGGGAGAAAAGTAGGGTATGGAGATGAGGAAATTCCTTGGGGTTGGGGTGGGGTTGCTATCTTAGGTGGTGACCCCACGGTGACATTTCAGTAGAGCTAGAGAAAGTACTGTGGGAGGACCAGAGAGAACAAGAGCAAGGGGCCAGCAGTTAGAACAAGTGAACATAAACAAGGAACACCGGAAGTACAATGCAAGAAGGTCAATGCAGAGAGAGGAGCATGAGGGGAAGACAGGCACCACTCAAGTCAGAGAAGCAGATGTGGGACCAGATGCAGAGTGTGATGCAGCCGCTTGTACCAACTCATATAAGCTCTTAAGAGCCAAATGCACCCATTTCCTCCCAACTCTGCTTACAGTGACTTCACGTTGAAACAGCCATCATGGGAATATTTACATCATGGAAGTCAACAAACATTACAAATCAGGGCTTTTTTTGTGGTTTGGTTTGGTTTTTTCCTGGAGAGCTGGTCTACCAGCATTATCACTGGCCTCACTGTTCGTTGCAAGCACTCTGCCTTCTCTCTGGGACAGGGAGGAGTCATCTGAAGGGTTTGAGTAAAAGAATGACATCAAATGATTTGAAATTGCCCTGACTTCTTTGTTGAGAATAAAGTACCCTAATAAAACTGACAGTTATGGCTAGAGTGCCTCCATTCCTCATTTCCTTACTGCCTTGAGCATAATGCCCAGGGCCACAACTGCCATCTCACACCAAAAGGAAAAGACCGAAACTCAGAGGGACACCAGCTTTCATGGTGTCAAGCTGCTGAGCCAATGCCAAGGCTACCTACCTCCATGTTTCTTGTTATGTGATGAAAATAAAACCTACTTGTTTTAATCTGATAGTCAGGTCTTCCACTGCTTACAAGTGAGGACATCTCCTAAAGACATTCCTAAGTGACATACTTGACTGAAAGAAGGGGCAGGGCATTCCTTCCCTCTTCTACCCTTCCACCCTTCATCCACAATTTCCCAACCACTGCCTCTGACGTACACTGTAGTCACATTTTACCTTTACGTACACACACACACACACACACATATACATACACACACATACACATACATATACATACATACGCATATATACAAACACATATGGCTGGCCAACAGAAGAAACGGAAGACCTCAGATACCCACCTCTTCCCTATTGGGTGCATCAGGAGGGGCAGTGGCTGCCACCGCCAACAGCTTGATGGGAGTTGTGGTATCACTGAAAACATCTGACACCTCCTGAGTCATGGCCTCCTGCATCCGGGCTTTCAGATCCTTAAAAATATTGTTTATAATTGAAAATTTCCAGAAATATCCAAAAAGCACATCTGTCACAGTGAATGTGTTCTCACTTCACCAACACATTCATTCATTCAGTGTTTCATTCAACTTTATCAGCTGTGAGCATCAACAAAACACTGAGCCAGCATGAAACAGGGGTAAGATGTGGATCCTGCCCTCCAAAAGATTAAGGAAAAGTAAGACATGGCCCACATTTTCCTAGAGACTGCTCCATGCAATCAAGAAATCTTCCTTCCTTTCTTGTTTCCCTCTAAGAAAAGATACTATGAATCATGGGGTTGAGCCCAAGAAGACCGAGAGCCCCTCACCAATCTCAATGCTGGAGGGGCCTGATTTGACCACAGTAACAGTAAGGATTGTTCGATGGATACAGTGCCCAATTTCTAAGCAATTTCTTATATGTAGAAGAAAATATCAAGAATAGGGTATTTTTGATACATGCCATTTCAATTAAGTTTCTAGAAAAACTCAATAACCAATTTATGTACCCATTTTTTAACATGAGTCTAAAGAAGAGGATTCTAAGAAGTCATGAAAAAAACTCTTTTTCATAATTATCACACTTTGTCCAATCTAAGTTTTATTCTGGATTTATAGTCAGAGTAGTCTCAGTCACCCCCACTGTTTCTCAAGGTGGGGAGAATGTCTGGGCTGGTGATATGAGATGATTTTAGGTGTTATATAGACAACTGGTTTTATTTTAATAATTGTGTGTTTCTTTTACAGAATATTAGAAAAAAATCTAACTAGTTCATCACCTGATTTCAGGATTATTATAAACTTTTCTTTTAAATAAATTTATTTACATTTTAAAAAGGAGTCCATTTTAAGAAAATTATTGGCTAAATTACAAAGTATAGATGACATGTGGTAGAGCAAATATGAAAGAGCTCTGGACTGGGTGCAACTTGGGAAACGCAATTTTATTTGTTATCACACTCGTGTGAGCTTGTCCCTAATAAGCTCTGGCTCAAGAAATTATATATTTTAAAAACTCTCTCCGCCTCCTTGTTTTTCAACAACAGTTAAGCATAAGAAATGTAATGATAGAGCTCCTGAGTTCTACCTTTAAGGAGTCTTGGAGCTGAGATGCAAGTGCTCTGGCCTGAGGACTCTCCCCTTCCCCTCGGGCAGCCAGGTCAGCCAGCTGCGCTGTCAGCTGGTCAACACGGTCACACTTTGCCAGAAGATCTTGGCGATAAGGCCCCATCATGACATTAGCCAGACGATGCCCTTCGGCCACGAGCCCCCGGATGGCAGCCTGACCTGGACCAAAAAGAAAACACTGAAACTCACACAGGCCCACTCTGGTATTTCTTTTTTAATAATAACAACACAAAAAATTGGGGAAATTTTAAAAAATGTTAAAAAATATAAACCACACATAATCCCATCGCTCAGAAATTGCTGTATCTGAACATTGCCTTCCAGTCTTTCTGAATGCACTGCATGCTCCCAAACAAACATACATTTCTCTTTTACAAAACTGGGGTCATACTATACATAAACTTTTATTCCTCTCTTCTTTTTATTTAACACAAGCATTTTTATGTCATTAAATATTCTTAAAAATTCATAATCTAAAACTAGGTAACATTTCATCATATTCACCATAATTGTTGGCCATTTACTTATTAGTAAGCATTTATGCCGTTTGTATAAATTCTCATATGTAAGTTGTTAGAAACATCTCTAATTATTTCTTAGAATAAATTCCTATGAGTCAAACTGCTAAGTCAATGGGTATGTACTTTTTTAAAGCTCTTGACGTATAATTCCCAACTGCCTTTCATAAAGTTTGCACCAACTTATTCCTCTACCAGTAAATTATACATCTGCCTGATCCCCAACACTGGGAATCACAAATTAAAAATTTTATCTTTTTCCAACTAATACAGTGAATGAAATAAACAGGTCTTTCAGCTTCAGCAGGCTTGCTATCATAATATGACCTTAATTCTTATAGATCCATTTCTAAAATCTCTCAAAAAAAACCCCACAGAATTGTAGGTAATCAATTCTACAGGTGACAGTGTGACGCAGGAGCTCTCACCACTGAAAATCACCTTGGCAACCACACGCCTTTTACTTATTTTCAAAAATTACATTTAACTGAGAACTTCCTAAGGACCATAATAACAGAAATGCAACAGAATTAAGGTACACACAGACTGGAAATAATCAGCTCAAAGTTCCAACTGCAACCTGAGGCTCTTCTTGCCCACAGAAAATCCATTCCTTTGCTAACATGTCTTGATTAATTCACAGGAATCGTATTGGCTCCATTTGGAAATGGAGTCCCACTGTGGAATGACTTACTCACCAGAGGCTAAAGAACCCTTTCTGAACCTAATTACAGCTCTATCAACAACTTGCTTATCCTCACTGAAGTAAGTATAAGGAGGGTTAAGTGCCTTACCAACTCCCCGGTCATCCACTGTGGGATTATCAATCCACCGCTGTGCTTGTTCAATCTTGCCCTCAAGGTGGACAGCTGCTTTGGCGGGTCTGCTGTTGGCCACAGCCCTGTTGGTTTTGGTCTGCAAATTCTGCAGGGCTGTGGCCACTTGTTTGGCCAGTGCTCGGGCCTCTGGCGAATCCCCTTTTCCCCTGCAGAGGAAAAACAAAAATAGCCATCCTGTCACACAGAGACACTCTTCACATTGAGATGATTTAATTGCTAATACAAATGCTAATGAGATGACAAAATGATTATTATTAATTTGGTTTGAAAGTAGAGGGACTTACCTATTTGGCCCTTAAATAAGAAATTAATAATATAAGTTCTGACTGTCTTGCCTAGTTCAGGCAGTTAAATATGTTGTAGTTAAGTTTGAGTTTGACCAGTCGAGCTCAACTAGGCTCAACCATTTGGTAAAATGAGCTTAGTCAATCATCACTAGGTTAGTTGGCCCCCAGCCTGGCACCTCTGAAAACACCAGTTTCTTCTGGAACTAAGCGGGCCCAAGCAGACAAGTTTGCTGTGCAGCAGTAGTTGAAGGAGCTAGAGTAGAATTAGTAGTAACACAATTTTTTGAGTCCTAACTCTGCCAGGTACTCTTGCAAACACTCTTGTATTATTTAATCCTCACAATAAATTTATGAGGTAAATACCAGCATTATTCCCATTATTCAAAAAACAAAACTGAGGCACAAAGAGGTTAGATAATTTACTCAAGGTTCCAAAACTTACTGTGGTGCAGCCAGATTCAAACCCAGGCACTCTGCCTGACTTCAGAGTCCTCACTCTTAGATACTACACATGTTGCCTTATGTTGGTATCAAATAACCCTCAATCCTTACCATTAATGATGGAACTGGGTGGTTATCTAACTCAAAGATGACATGCTCACAGTCAGGCAAGGCACTTAATTTGATTCTGGTGGCTCTCGAAAGTCCAGTGTGAATAAGTCACCAGGGATATTATTTTTAAATGCAGATTGTTAAACCCAGCATCAAAGGGGATTCTGATTAAGTATGTCTGGGGTGGGGTCCAGGGTTCTGTATTTTTAACAACCTTCCTAGGAGATTCTGAGATAGGTGGTCTTCAGTCCAGACTTTAAAAACCCTGCATACTCAGCTAGTGGTGGGATCTGGGGCTGGTAAGCCTGGGACACAGTGGGTCAAAGCTAGATGAAGAACTCAAATAAATAAAGTCAACACACAGAGTGAAACAGGCAGAGCGCACCACACAGCTGCTAAGAGAAGGAGGAAGGAGCTTCCAGCTGCCCTAAGACCTAGCCACACTTCAAGCTGTTGAGTCCCATTAGATGCTTCTATGTATCATCAATAAACATCCACTTTTACTTGAGTTGGTCCTTGTAACCAAAGAACCTCAACAAGTACACGAACACAGATACAAAAAGACAACCACAATTATATCACAAAGGGAGAAAACTGCTGTCCCCAAAATTTTATTTCAAATTATGATTCTAACCATTATGACCATATAAAGAGTCTGACTCATTTTATATCTCAGGTCCACTAGGTCACAGAAAAGTAAACTTCGGGATAATCATATCTGTCTCACCAATAAAAATGCAAGTAATAACCTACCTGACAGAATGATTAATTCAGATACTATCTTAAGAGCTCCTTTATGACTCTAAATTTCCATACGTTCTCCATTATAAAGCTGGACAAAGAAGTTATTTACTGTGATTCTGATCATAGTTATTTCTGCTGCCAGAGGGTTATTTATTCGTTACATAAAAGAGGAATAAGTAATGGTAACACTACAAGACCAGACTTGAAATCTACTGTTACTATCATTATCATTCATTCTCTCTTGATCATTAAGAAACATTAATGAGTGCCTGCTATGTGTATGGACTTGTGTTAGGGTCCTGAGAATATAGTTTCCTCCTTTATTTTTGAATCTAGTAAAAATGGGAACAGATGATATTAATGAACAGAGACCTAACTCTGCAGCCATTATATTCTACGATTGTCCAAATACACATTTTCCCACCTTCCCAAATTTAAGATTTCGGGGTATAAAACCAAGACCACCCCCCAAATAACTGTGTCTGATATACAATCAGAGTTGAGCTGTTACCTAAGCTGCCCTCTGTCACAACATTCTGCCTGAAGTTTGTCCCTCCTGCTCCCACTCATTCCTATTTCACAGTCCAAGGCAGGAGTTTGCTTTCTTAGCCAACATTGCTCTCTGAGCCGACATAAGATCTGAAACGCTACAGTATCTCTGGGAAAAGGTCAGGCACTGTCCCATGGAAGAAAAGGAACTGAAACATGCAAATTCAATGAAAAGCCAAATTTCATGAGATACTTGACTATGGTTATCCCTGGAGAAGTGGCTGGAGGACTGAGGTGGGAAAGAAGCAACTCTTACTTTTGATGTTGCAACCTTTCTCAATCTTCTTTTAGCACGGGATGCAGTTTTTTAAAGACAGAAAAATATCTTTCAAAAGAAGACAGCAATACGTCTTTTCTAGATAATCAGAGCTGGTGCTATGAAAGCCTTATCTGTCTGACTGATTTAAAAAAAAAATCCCCTTAAGAGAAGAAGCTGTGGGGAAGATATCATATTTAAGGATCTTTTATAACTTCTACATAAGCAATAACACTGCTGGGGAAGGAAGAAAGTACCTTCTTAGGCCTCCTCCCACCGTACCCCCTCTTCCCCCGACACACAACAATCTTTTCATAGCTAGCTGCAAAACTTACTTTCCTCATATGGCTGGGAAACAGAAAGGTCACCACCACGGTGTAGCAGCTTAGAGATTTTAAACATAGCTCTCAAAAAATGAGTTCTTTTTTATTAATTTAAAAAATTAATAAACTTATTTATTAAATCCAAATCCTACATTTATTAATTTAAAACCATCTGCCCTCACCATGTCACACAGAAACAATGAGACCACAGAACATCATATGTGCATTTAACCTATAAAATTCAACTATGTAAGTTCTTAGGAGAAAAGAGAGAGAGAGAGTAAAGGATCATTTAATTGATTAAATACATACTGTCTTCGTAGATCTGCTAATTTAGACGTCAGAGCAGATATTTCTCCCAGAGAACGGAGAATGTCATCTCTCTCTTTAGGATCATCACATAATTCAGCTATTTTCCGAGCTTCAGCCAAAGCCCCTCGAATCTGTTCTTCTCCTTCTGGTCCACCATTTGGATCGGCAAGCCAATTCTACAGACACAGAAATGGAAAAGAAGCATGCTGTCATCTATTCATGAGCCAAGTTTATTAAACTTAACAAGGCCATCAGAAATATTTCACAAGTAATCACAAGGCATAGTTGCAGTTCTTTTTATAATGCTGATCCTTTTTTCCCCCATTGGTTCTTGCTCAGGTGAAACCAAATCAATCCTTCATCTTTCTAAAAATGATTTTTTTTCTCTCCCATTAGGAAAATACCTTCACAAGTTTTATCTTATCTTTGAATTAATCACGTCTTATTAATTCACTTTCTCAAACATTTGTGTTTCTTCAGGAAATGCTTGAAAATCATTTCACAGTAGAGTAGTATTGGAAAACGTTACCCTCTAACATTGCTATGACCAAAAACTGTTGTGATTTTTGAGATGAAGAACAATTTTAAGTACCATAATCTCCATCAGGAATTAGGATTCTCTTGGTACCCAAGAATGCTGACTTTTAACTAACCAAAGGATTCAAAATTAAGATCTCTGCTTCAAAATATAAATAAACATTAGTCTAAAACCTGTGGTGATAGGGGACATGTTAACATTGGCAACTGCTGGGAATCAGTCATCGCCCAGAAACCCCCATTATCCACCCACAGTAAATTGGATGCGGGGGATGCAGGATGTTTATGGGCCATGTCTCCTTCTCTTCTATCCCCCACACTCCTGAAAACATCACTGCTACCTGAGCAGCATCGATCTTCTTCGCGATGCTCTGCTTTGAGTTGGTCATGGCTTCCAGCTTGCGGGCTGCGTTTTCCACTTTTGCTGTGAGCACATCCAGACCCTGAGACACCTGCTGGGCTTTCTGCATGGCCACCAGTGAGGCTCCCTGTCCTCTACTCAAACAGACAGATGCTGTTATTGTACTCCCTCAAAGTCTTAAGAGCAAAATAATACTAAAAGCACAGTATATGTCGTTTTGCTAACATGCTTGTCTTTTTCCTCCACTAAATCTGGAATAGCACAAGGAAACACAGAGAAATAAAGCAAAACACCCAAACCATCTAATTTCTCCTTTGCTTTGAAAAATACCCAGTAGCAGGGAAGGGTATAGCTCAAGTGGTAGAATGCATGCTTTAACATGCATGAGGTCGTGGGTTCGATCCCCAGTACCTCCTCTAAAAATAAATAAATAAACCTAATTGCTCCCCCCCCCCGAAAAAAAGCAAAAAATAAACAAACAAACAAATCAATAAATACCTCTCTAAAACACACACAAACACACATACACACAGTAGCTTCAAGGAACTGCATAACCACTTTAAAGACCAGACCTGCAAGTTTGATAATAATGATTCTCCTCTTGGTGGTGATTACATAATCAAACCTAATCTTTGGGGGGGGAGACGTGCTTATCATCTTATTGCTATGGAGGGTTTTGTTGCCATAGTAATGTGTGCCTTGGAAATAAACAGTCCATTAGACTGTCTTGTTCATGGGCAAGTAAACACTGAAAATGCTTCAACAGGCAGCATGCCTAGTGTTACTGAAAGCACACCGCACTGGGACCAAGCAGATTTGTGTTCAAATCCTGACTCCTGATATCCATGGAACCTTGTTTACGATGTTTAAGTTCTTTGGGCTTCAGTTTTCTAACTTACAAAGTGAGGGATAGGTAGGTAACAATACTTGCCCTGCCCATCAGAGTGGCTTCAAGCAAAAAGATACACTCGAAAGCACTTTGGCAATAAAGTAACGTACATATATGACTATCATTATTACTGAATTGTAGTTATCATAACCTAATGATAATCTTAAATATTTACCTTCCACTCCTATGTAATCTATAAATATCACAGCCAGTTAGTACTGAAGGGAAAGGGCACATGGTGACTAGAAACCATTACTTCCTACCAAGTTCCTAAAGAATTAACTTCACTATTTTCCCCCCTCAGAAGTGGTATGCTACTACTACAAAAAACGACATGAGTTAGCAGAAACTTGTTTTCCCTTTGTAAAAGACTTCCCAAGTCACAACAAAGTAAGAGTTGCCATCTTTTTATACTCAGGTTTTACAATCCACCCGGTCTGGTAAACTCAGTGGTAGGGGTGGCAACTTTATCATTTGGCCGAATGGCACAGCTGATCATCCTAACCTGAGCTTCTAATTTTAGGATCAACTCCAAAACATCTTTGCTTCCCTTATAATAGTACAGATCTCTCATTCACCTATCTATCCTCTTTTTAAATTTATCTCTGTTTTTCACTTACACCAATACTTGAGACAGTGAACGCAATAACATTCATTGCCAGGTATATAAAAGGTATATATCCAGCTTTCCCTTGTACCTGACACCTCCCTTTTACACAGCAGAGGAGTCTAAGACTTCTGGGAAATAAACTTTTTATGATTTAACTTGCTTTTTTCCTTCAAATCTAGTAATTCATGAGGAGGTAACTTTTTGGTCTAAGAGGCCAAGTGAAAAAGTAAAAATATTTACGGACTACATAATTTTTCATTCAAAATAAAAAGTTTATTGAGTCCCACAGAGAAGAAAATAGATATTTACTATCCTAGAAACCCTTGGTGACTGAATAGAAGAATATCAACTAGAAACTTGTTACTGAGTTTCAGCCGCTTAAATGTTAGGCAGCAGGCATATCTAAGAAAGGATAACAGGGAGACGGCTTTGTAATCTTTCACTGTGAGGGGCTGGTGCAGGCTCCAGTGTGGAGCAGGCCCACTGCAGCCCCTCCCTGTCCCAGCCTTTTCTCTACAGATTTATAGCTGATCCTGTACAGCAACTACCTCATTCTCTTGCTCAAATCCATCTTTCTCTGAGGACATGCAATTGTGTATTTGAGAATTCCAAGTGAAAACTGTCTACCACATTGTGAAACCACACTGTGAAAAGGCTGCAGACAAAAGAGCCGGCAGTGAGAAATTAGAAGAGCCAAGAATCTCATCAAACCGCATTGGCATTTCTCCGAATGGGAACAGAACTTCTTTTTGTCCTTTCTGTGAAGTTTTTGTCATGCTCACGTCAGGGGAGACTGCCTCACAGCAGGAGAAAAGGCCCCTTGAGCTCACTGAGAGACATCTATTGATGCTGTTCCTTCTCCCCTTCAAGCTGGAGGCTCTTAACTGGAAGCCCATGGACTTCCAGGGCTACAGTGAATCCACAAACCTCTAGAAATGTACATATAATATTGTATATGGGCATGCCCATGTGCATCTGCTTAGGTACAGAGTAATGGCTTTCAGTAATGGCTTTTATCAGATTATAAAAATGATCTTGGTCCCAAAAAGGTTAAGAACCACTCCTTTAAGAACTGTGTTCTTAAGTCCACCATGTGAACACGTTTGAGGCCAGGTGTAACGGTGTGCAACATGCCACCGAGTTCTGAGCACTTAGTTTGTAGGGAGACCTCGTTTTCTAATCATCTCAAGATGCTTCATGACATTCTCAAAGTAAAGTTAAACTTCATTGTACTAGTGTGTCGGCATACCTCAATTTTTCTCAACATCCACGCTATAAAATTCCATCAAAGTGAGGATCTTTTAGAGCATCATTAACTGTATTTATGAGTTCCAAATAAACCTATGTCATATTGAGTTTCCTTAAAAGCAAACTATATATATTTAGTTTATAAGAAGGTGGGAGTAGATTCTAAAAGCCAAGACTTGAGGTGGGTAAAAGATAGTTAAAAGAATTATAAAATCAAATGAATAATGATGAAATAGAAACTTAAAAGAGCCTAGAAATGGTCAATGTAGAGGATAATCTATTTAACTGATTTTTAAAAATGACATGTGAAGTGATTCTGATGTTTTCACTTCTTGTTTTTTTCTACCCATTCCTCATAAAAAAATATCTACCCACTGCCCCCTTATTTTATTTTTCATAAGCCTATGGCTAGAAACTTAACAGATTTCTATTTCAATTTCAACTTTACTACAAGGCATCTGCATATTTTAAAAGTTCAACAAAGGGAAAATTCACTTCAATGTCAAAAGAACTAGTAGAATATAATGTCTATATTATCTATCAGCCGTAGAGAACTCAGTAAAATTCACAGAAACTTGCTTTCTGAGTCATTCCATCAGGAATGAGATCCTATCTCCTACCCATTCCTGCGCTGGTGAGAGCAAAGGAACATTACCTGGCTCGCAGGTCAGCCACTTGATCAGTCATCTGCCCTAGCATCTTACAGGTTCCCAGGATCTCCCTGCGTTCTTTGCCTGCGCAGAGTTCACCAACTTTTCCAGCTTCATCTAAGATCTGCCTGATGGCCTGCTCACCAGCATCCCCTAAAATAAAGAGATATTCAATATCTACATTTTGACCCATTAATTATTCAGAGAGGATGCTTTACAAGGCATTTCATTCATGAAGGAACAGATGACTTTATACGACAGAACAAGTGAATTGAAGGCAATATATCTGACAGCTAGCAGCCAGCGGAGCAGTGCTCTTACAGCCAGAGGGTGAGCTTCCACCCACAGAGGCTGCTAAAAAGACCTCTGGAACCATAGCCATCTGGAGATAATAAGCAGCTTGTGGTAAGCATATGGATGATGAAAGTAGGCTCTAACAACTTAATAGTACTTAACACCTCCAAACTCCATTAGGCTTTTCACATTCATTCAAATATTAATCTAAAACTGAATAAATATTAGATTAGAAAATCCATAAAGCCTAGCTCAATAACCTGTTTGGGTCTTATCTTTATATAAGTCAACTCTGCTTCCCAATTCTTATTAGCAACATCGTTTAATCTGCTTAATAAAGTACTCTGTTGACATAAATGGAAACCTGCCCAATGGGAACTAGAAGAGAAAAGCTTTTATTCAAAATAATTACTTTTCTGACTCAGGGAAGGGGTGAACGAATAATGTGACGAAGAATGCCCAGTTCACTTTGGCTTGTTCCTCCATGATGAGAGGTCATTAGTCTACGCCCTTCATCCTTTTAAGGACCAGCAATGCTTTAATTAGTGAAAAACTATCAGAGAATGGAATATGGCCCTAAATGCTACGGTAGTTATCTCAGGATTATGAGATTATGGAATAACTTCTTTCTTTTTTTACTTTTGTTTTCCTAGTTTTTAGCTTTTCGTTGTATCTTTCAGAAAAGTAGAACCAGACGGTTACCTGGGGAGGCGCTGGGGTCACGGAGCCAACCTTTGGCCTGGTTCAATTTGGAGTCTATTGAGGCCAGTGCTCTCTTCATGGCTTCAGTGTCCTTTTGAAGAAAAATACCACAGTTATTTTCTCTGCAAAAACTGAGATACCATGATACAAAGTAAGACAGAGAAGTTACACCATTAACATCCAATCGCTAAGGTAGTCCTACAACAGCCTTAAAAGTATTCTCAATCACACCATAATGCTTATTTCTGTCAAAATGCAGCATCTTGCATGCAAATCTTCAGTTAATTCTACTGTTTTCTAGCCTTCCTACTGCTAAACTGGTAAAACTGCTCAAGCCAAAAGATGTTTAATGTCTTTAGCAAGGAAAAGCCTGGTTGTCACATGCCTCATTATCAGCCTTTCCACTAGTCAACATTCACCTATGGCAGCCCTGTCAAAGCCCTCCCAGCTTCAGGGAAGCCTCATTAGCATGTGGTGCCACAAATCACAGTATTTTTACATCTTGTTTTGAAATATACACACAGTGGATGATGTTTCACTAGGTTTAATTAATCTAAAAAACTTAGAATTACTGGTTGGAAGAAAACTGAAAAGTTTAATATGGCAATTTAGTTTTAATTCCACCCAAAAAACCCACTAAATGTAATACAAGAAAGAAATATCTTTCTGCCCTTCCCTGGCATCCCTCATCCTTAGTGCCCTGACTGTCCCTACCTGGAAGGAGAGGCTGGATAAAACAAGCAGGTCTCAATTTATTGTTTATATCCAGGATTCACAATACTGGCATGAAACAAGCATAAAATCCCCCAGGATGTAGCATGAGAAGTCAAAACAACAGACTCATCACTTTTAAAATATACATACATTTTAATAAAGGTTTTTAAATAAAGGAAAATACAGAGAACAGTATAACAAATACCCATGTACCTACCCATCCTCACAACTGACAGGCTGGCCATCTCTTAAGGCTCTGTTTATAAACACCTTAAAAGACAGCCTACCTACCTTTTGCTTAGGGAACTGACTCTTATTGGAGTCCATCCATGAAAGCATAGGGTTAACTTCTGAAATTCCAGGCAATGCCCTAAATCCGCATCCTTTTCAATTTCCAGTCCTGCAAGCTGGGGTTCTTAAAGGTGTGGTACCACCAGTTTCCCACACGGGGGCACTAGGCGCATCCCCACTTCCAATTCAAACAAAACCCAGCACTAGCACCAATGTTGGGAGCAATGAGAATTAGGCTTAAGGTCAGCAGCCTGACCGCAGCTTTTCCAAAGTACCTATTCAAATTGTAGGACTCTCAGCTTTGGACTTCCTCTTTCCCCACCTAAACAGATACAGCTTGTTCTCCTGTTGAAACTGGCTATCCAAAACTCTAAGCAGCAAATTCTCAGCCGCAGCAACTAAAAAGAAGTGAACTAAATGGGTAAAAAAATGGAAATAAAGTATTTTTATTATCAAATTATACAGAATTATGATAGCTATTTATCAATAAAAGGGAGAGTCATAGGAGGATCTATCTAATTCAAACTCCATTTGTAATTAGGACAAGTAGACAAATGCCATTTTTTAAGCGCTTCAATTCTCAAATGGTTTAAATATTTTCTCCTCCTCCATCTTGTTCTAATTAATCTCTACAGCAAACTTTGCCTTCAAAAGTCAGCTTTATTCCAAAACAGCAAGGCCCAAATCAATATCTTTTTAAAGAGAGTCTCAGACAACTCCCAACTTCAGAGAGTCAGATAGCCTTCAGGGTTTAATACAAGTTATAGGACTTCGTCTAGGTACAGATTGAAAAAAAGAAAAATTTCACAGTCTCTCACTTAGGAAGAAGAGAAACGATAGCCATATAAAAATATTTAATTTAAAATCTGTTAATCATTTCTTTAACATATTTATATTTTCAGTGAAAAAAACAGATATTTATTACAGTTCAAAAATCTAAATTCAAGGGGAAACAAAGATCAGAAATTTTTCAGTGTCTACTCTAGCATTAAAGGCCACCAGTTAGGAACCTGTCTCTAACTGAGCACTTCCTACATGCTAGATTCTGTTCTAGGCATTCTCCCCCTTATTGCTTCACTGAACTTCAAATTTAAAGGCAATTTCATTTTACAAATTAAGAAACAGGGGCTCAATCTTAGAAGCCCAATTTGATCTCAAAACTCACTATTTTATATTAGATGAAATTCAAGAATTTTTTTCTTTTACAAAAATGAATAGCCAAAGATTCCACTAACCTTTTATAACAGTCAGCAAATCTTTGCCTTGCCTATTTTGGCTTTGGTTTAATACTGCCTAGAAAATCAGCTCTAGAAATCAAATTCATAATCCTCACTGACCTAAATAACTGCTTTTATTCTCATTGCCCCCAAATTACTTAAAACACAATAGAAAAACTGGTTTTGCTCTTTTCAGTAGCCTCAAAAATCACAGCTTTTTTCGCCCTAATAAAGCATGGCCACCATGCTTCAAGGAAAGAATCTGATTCTCAGGATGTGAGTAATGTACTCCTGCGTGGGAGATGTGACAATATTAAGACATTAAAACTAAGAGATGTTCATTTTCTCCTGAGAAGAATCAATGGCAAATTTGGAATGAAGCTGCATTTTTAAACTGGGAATTTCAATTAGTTGCCAAAGTTGTTTTGTTTTTATTTGTTTGTTTGTTTAAAATGAAGGTACTGGGAATTCAGCCCAGGAGCTCATACATGCTAAATAAGCATGCGCTCTACCACTGAGCTATACCCTCCCCCCATACCAAAGTTCTTAATAGCATAAATTTTAAACAATTTGGGGGATTTAAAACAGTCATTGAAAAGTCCACCTTAAATTCCTTCTGGAATAGAGCAAGTTGTAAATAATCATTGAAACACAATACATTTTAATGTCATATCTACTAAAAGTCTATGGGAATAAATATTTCGATCATAAGCAGCAAAAGAAGTATGCTAACATTGGATATAATATAAACAAATCCGCTGAATAACTAGGGCTAAGAAGCAATTTTGAAATATTATTTATAAAGGGTGAAAATAATGCTAACTCCATGGTCAAGTATACTGTGTCCTACAAAGCCTGTAGTTAAATCTTCTCATCTAAGTCTAAGTACCCAGAGTACAATCTGAGTATGATATAGAGGAGGAAAAAAACCTAGATCTTCACTTAAATACTTTTCTTTGTAAAATCTCAGATTTGAAAAACAGAAAAGACTCCACCAATCTTGTCTCTGTTTTTGTTGCTGGTCTTCTTCTTCTTTTTTTTTTTTAAGAGTGAATACAAAACAGACCAGATCTATTCACGCAGCTTTGGGGACAGCTGGCATCTGGTGCCCTCCTCCTCTGGTCCCTTTTACTGTAAAACTCCTATGAGTTCAGGTTTTAAATGAAAAAATAACCACAGTGCCTTGGCACTCTGCCACACATACCAAAAGGCAGAAGGAGGCCAACTTACACTCTGTTTTACATGCTTTTCCAGGAACTGACACACTCCTGAAATTTTACGTGGAGTTAGACCTGAAGAACACTGAATAATACTGAAAACCACTGAGTTCCTCCTACAGACAATCAGAGGAACTGCGGTAGAACAGGGAGCTCCTGCAACTTCAGGCTCTTGAAAATGTTAAATATGGGACTAAAGACCCCCTCTCAATCACCCCCCAACCTACTCTCTCCTTTCCACTAACACCTCCGGTCCCCACCCTTCCCACTCCACTCCATTCTGAACCACATTTTCACCTCCAAATCCACATTTTAAACAAAGATGTTTTTGGAAAGAATAGTTTGGGCAGTAAAACAAAATCTTACCAACTACATTTAAGTCATTTAAGTCTTCGAGCTCTGAGCCTTCAGGCAAGTTACCAGGCATCAGTTGCAATCTCTAAGAATACCTTCCCAGCTCTACAGTTAAGATGTAGACGTACCAACTAAAAGATCACTTGGATCAGAAGGGGAACTTCAATTCCTTTAACATGTAGGGCTTTTCACTTTTCTGGGGGGAGGGCATAATATCATAAATGCCTGAATTAACTATTTATATCAAACTCTAAGAGAGAAATCTTGCTGTATTAGCTGCATACTAGAATACTCATACTGCATAACAGAACACTAGAAGACTCCAAAAAAGCTCCTATACAACCTTCTTTTTTCAAAAGTGAAATAAAAATTAACTCTTAAATCCCGAAGGTCTGCTGTAAAGGCAAATGTAACAGGATCACATGTTCTAACCAGTATTTCCTTCTCTGGAAGGGTAGTCTGTGCAAGACATCTGAGTCACTCAATACATTTACCCACCACCAGCCTAGGCCCACAGTGGGAGGAGACACAACACACGAATAAAGTCTGAATAGGAGTATCTAATGACTCCAGGTGCTGTTCCAGGAACACCCACGTAGGGTTCAAAAATTCCTAGTAATGAAACGCTTTTTAAATTTTTCTCACTTCCTCTTAATTCCCAGCACACACAAGATACACGTAATATAAATACCAAAAAAAGAGATTAAACATAGATTGCTCAATTTACAAAGGGTAAAATGAGAATTGTTTAACTCCCCTATTCTTTTGTCTCATAATGTATTTCCCAGGAAAAATGCTAAACTAATTTTTAATGATCATTATAAGATAGCTGTTGATTTAAGGAGGGGAAAAGTTTTATTTTCAAAATAAAGTGAAGTGTTTAAAGTCAAAGTATTTTTAAATTTGTAAATCTGACGTTTGAATGCAGGTATAAAAGGTAAAATAATCAGCTATTGCATTGCCTCTTTAAAATCTTAACTTATTCGGCAAGACGCAATTTTACCAAGAATTTTTTTCCACTTACTTTCTTCCCCTACTTTTCTAGAGGAACCATCACTTTCCAGGAGAAAACTGCACCAGTGGGGAAGCATGAAACAAGTACGGTAAGACAAAGTTAATTCTTTTTTGGTAGGGGCGTGAGGAGGTAAAAGATACCCTAAGTATGAAACAGAATGGGAACCCAGGAATCACAGACAGACACAAGGTCTGAATAATTCACTGCTTAGTTGAGCAATGAAAGATGCATAGTGCTGCTAAACTGAGTAACAACCAAAACCCTAGTTTCTGATTTTCATTTTTAGGGTAAATGTCTTTCTAAATATTCTTACACCTAATGAAAACGATGACCCTTAGGGGTAAGGGAGGTAGAGTGGATGGGGAAGGGGATGGAGCGAGATCTGTCATGTGCATCTTTTCAGAGCACTTTGATTTTTGAACCAGGTAATTGTATAACAAAATGAAGTTAAAAATTAAACATTTCTTGCACATTTTGATGTCACTATGTACTTGAGCTCTTTTGGCTGAACTAATTTTATTTATTTCCTTTCATTCTGATACTTTCCTGGCATCCTAACAGTCTCGCTCCTTGCAGATCAGCATAAAACTGAGACAGCTCCAGGACTGTACATGGTGGAGACCAGGTCTATGTCCCTTGTACACCCTCCAAGTGCCTAATCCCCATCCTGAAAAACTCAACTGACCATGGGTTTTGGTTTTGGTTTTGGTTTTGGTTTTGGTTTTGGTTTTGGTTTTAGAGCAGCAGCTCTTGAAAGCACAAAAGAAAGCTGAGTAACTAAACTTGTTTGCTAACTGATAGGTGACTCTTCCCCTCTAAAAACAGAGAAACACTAAGGTGACAATGTCTGCTCCTCTTTTTTACTTTCTCATCTACCAGAAGCAAAGGAAAGAGAATAAGGGAAGAGATTAGGTTAAGGGAACATGAGGTCATGGGGAACTACAGCTGATTCACAGCTTAGACAGCAGAACATGCAGCGAGCCACGGACTGAAGTTAGGAAAAACTAGGTACACCTACCCTTTTGATTTTGAAGGCTAGGATGATCGTGAAGGACAGGTACCCCCATCTAAACTCTCTAGACCACCCATTTTCACTGTGGCTTAAAACCTCAGTGATGCATCTCCAAAAGCAAAATTTCAGAGCCTGCAAAGGAGGCCAGTAGGAGAGGCAAATACAGAGATGGCATCAGCTGGAAGTTTCCTTTCCTAAGAGCAGGGTCCACAGGTGGCATAAACAACCTGGGGAAACCTGCCCATCAGATGAAGGCAGTGGGAAGGACCAAGCCAAAACAGTTCCCAGGAACCTGCTCAAAGAGAGGAAAGCACCCACCAAATACAGAAAGCCTGGTCTCCCACGGCAATGTCTTTCCTGCTGCTGTCCCCAAAGAAACAGCTCCGTGTGAGCCATAGTCAGTCTGCTCAGCACAGCCCCAAGTCCCGTATTAAATCACATTCGGACGCATATTCGAGCACAGTGTTACACCGGCACACGGAATCAGGCACGGCACACAGCACAAGAAAACCTCACGGACATGCTTTTTCTCTTTTTAAGCGAAAAAGAAACTAGAGGGCAAGAGAAAGCTTACCTTCTAAACGTGAGAAAAAAAGAATGAAACAGACAAGAGAACAAAAAAAGATGCATAAAGAAGTCATAACAGGGAAGTAAAAGTTGTCAAATATGCAAAAGCAAGATTAAGTAAAATATCAAAGACTTTAAATGATGTAGCCATCTGGATTTAAAATATAGTCTTAGAATCTGTTCAAGAACTTCACGCCTCTGAAAACAAATCCAACGTTAAGACAAGCTGACTAATTTCTCCCGCACATTTAGATCCACTTTTTTGGCAACAAAAGAGAGAGCTGGTGATCTTAGGCCCCAGCTCTGACCTTACCTTGTAAGTGTCCTGGAGGACCAACAGAGCCCTACCAGGCACCCAGCGGGGGTTATACTACAAAAGCCCCTCTGTAGTCCTCTCCCAGCCTGCAGGGTGGCCCTGGAGACATCATGTGGGTCACATATGGGTAGGGGGGGAGCTGGATCCTGGAGACGGTGTGTTCCCCCCACTGCCTGCATCTTGGGCTCCTACGAGGAAAAGTGTAAACCCAAGCATCTCTGTTCCCAGAGACAGTCACTAGACAGGGAGAAGCAGACCAGAGCGGCAGCAACGCAAACAACCGCTGCTGGGCTCTAGTAGGAATCTACCAACCCTTTTGGAGTCCAATAAGAAATTCTAGACCAAAGGTGAAGGGACTAACTGACAAACGTGAAAACTAACATTTTAGCTAAGCTATCTTTCGGGAAAACAGAATGATGAAGGGACATACCTAGAAATGCCAAGAGTTTCCTCTATAGATTTCTCTGGGTCAAAGGTGAGTTAAGGAAAAGTTTTCCATAAAATTCCGTCATAGGCATATTCTGTGTCTTATTTAGTCACCTAGCAACAACCGCCCACATGAAAGGCAGCTCTCCCATCCAGGGGAGTATATACCACACCAGAATTTCTTGCCAGCCCAGTCAACGAGACCCCAGCTTGAAGGAAAAGCTACGCATCTCAGCTTTCAACCAACATTCACCCACATACCTATTTATTTGTTCTGCCTCAGAATAAAGGAAATTTGCAGAAGCAGCAAGTAACCCATGAAACAAAAGTGAAGAAGAAATTACCTTCATAATATCAAAACAGTCTTATGCTACACACAATCACAAGATAAGATGTGAGATAATCACATCCCCAGGAGGGGAGAATTTGGGATTTTGCTTATTTCTCCCCCAGTAACACTCACCTTGCTGGCCCAGGCATCTTCGTCCCAAGAAGTGAGTTGTAATACACGAATGATCTCATTAATTTCAGCGCTCATCTTTTCTACAGTAAAATTGCGATTTTTCAAAGCTTCTTCTATTCCTTGGTTTTTTGAGTTTTTAGTTGTTACAAAAATCTTCATAGCTGTAAAAA